TTGATAATAAATTAAATTCTTACTGTTGATTTCGTGCATTAAGTTTATTTTCGCATTTCAGGAGGAAGCCTTTATACCAAAAATAACAATTTCTAATATAGCAGCTGTAAATTTATGACACGGTCAATTATATTTCACTTATAATCCATAAAGAACAAATAAGATAACAGAATTATGGTTATACTTACACCAAGGGACCGTAAATAAGTTCTTTTCATGGCTAAGCACTTAGTTCATGGGTAACATTAGATTTACAATACACACACTCATGACGGCGTTAAAATACTTCAGCAACACCGAGTACGCGCGCCATCATCCACAAGTGAACCCTGACGTTTATCGTGACAAATGGTGAGTTGTAACTTGTAGATGGTGTGTGGTGTGAGGCGTTTAGCTGGATTAGTGGAGGGGAGGGAAGAAAGCTACCCCACCCTGCTTCCCCCTTCTCCCCCAGAGCAAGCAAAAAAAAAATTATATATATACTGTACATATACTTTCAATATAATGTTGCTGTTTTTAGTATGATATTCACGTGACCTCCCTAGTGGTGATTTTTATTTTTATTTTTTTTAAACTATCAACAGCCTTGATTCCTCAGGTTGTTATCGGGGAAAGTTGATCACAAACTGAACTGTAGGTGGAAGTAGGAGGACCCCCCAGGACGTGCTAGACAGTGGGTGTGGAGGTATTCACACTGAGAGGCAGCTGTGTTATTGACTAATTTAGAATCATCACTGTGGCGGTGAGCGAGACACGTAGCTACGGCTATTGTTGTTCTATGACTGTTCTTTGTCTTCTGAAGGCGTCCAGGTCACCACACACGACGGTGACTCACTCTCACGCTCGACCTTAGCCAGGATTATCAGAGCTGCGTTCATTACCATTTGTTCACGTAAATGAAGTTTTGAATTTGTTACAGCTCACTAAAGCGACGATACAAATGCAGCTACCAGAGTGTACCGTTACCTGTCCCAAGTCCACGTGGTGTCCAAGAGTCCAAAACTTGGCCAGAATGGCGGCATCCAAGGAGTCCGTTCACAAAGTAGCCAGGGGAACCACAAAGGGTCGAGTGAGCTTCCAAGATGTCCACTAAGCTTCTACGGGTTCCAGTGTCCTTGAGGGTTCATCGGACTTCTGTAGGGCTGCTAGTGGGTGTTCAAGGGATCCAGTAGACGTTCAAGTGCGGACATATAGCATCTAAGGATTCAACAAGGTTTCCATAGTACGTTTAAAGGATCACGAGGACTTTCAGGAGGATCCGCAGGCGTGGAGTGCGTCCATTTAGAGTTCAATCATTCCACAAGGCGTCCATAGGCAGCCCAGGTGACCCGTAGGATGTCCAGAGTGTTTAGGTGACGTCGGGGGTTATGCAAGAGTGTGGTAGAGGAAGTGTGGGGAGGAATTAAATGGAATTGAGGGATGATGTGGGGTGGGCGGGGCATCATAGGGTAGAGAGGACAGAATGGGATTGCGGGATGGGATGGGATTAAAGGAATTGGGTGAAGGGGACGAGAAGGAAGGATGGGGTGGAGAAAACGAGATGGCATAAGGTAAGGTTTGGTAGATGAGTCATGCATCTCCACCAACACCACCTCCTCCTCCGTCCACTTCCGCCCACAACACCTCCGCCCACCAGCACCTCCGCCCACCAACACCTCCACCTCCGCCCACCAACACCACCACCTCCGCCCACCAACACGCCACCTACCTTACAGTAGTATTTGTTGGTACAAAAAGCAAGTTATAACTTGACACAGTATGTCATAATGCGTGGTAAACATTACATTATCACCTTTTCCTGTCGGGGGGTGGGGGGTAGTAGCCAGGTGGTATCCGGAATGGTGTCTTCGTAAATATAAAACTTTCTGTACCTACCCTGTCTCCCCCCCCCGTTCTCCCCACACACAGTACGTGTCGCTGACCCCACTATCCCTCCTCAGAGGCTGTGATGTGGGTTGATTAAACTATTGTGCGTGCATCCCACAATATACTCCACTGACGCGCCACCCAGACCAGAAAAGTAGACGTCTGGCCGGTCAATTTACTGCCCAGTATAACACTCGCAAAACATCAGCACGAGCAATCAACTGGGTATAATGTTTTACATTCTTCGGCATCAAACGTATGGAAATTATGTCAGGTAAAGCATAATCTCAGGTTTTGTGCTCACAAGCTAGGCATAACAATCTTTGAAGTGACTAGTCATGATAGCATGGAGAAGTGTTTGTTATTGTCGGGGGAATTTCCATTAAAACTGCGAGTATTGTCCATGTAAACATTCACCTGCCTTATAGTAGACCCGTTAAGCAAACATCCAACATAACTGTGTTCATTAATAACCCGTGTGCATCACGCTAAGAACAACGATCAGACGTCTTTATCAGGTTGATTAACCGCAACAGGCTGTGATATGGCGCACACTGGCATAAAAGTGAATCATGGCAACTTGTCCAAAACATTTATATGGCCTTCTTGGTGTGTATTTTTATTTTATTTTTAATTGGTTTTCTAAAACTCAATTTGAAATATAAAGTGTAAACAAAGGGACGTTAGGAGATCTTTCAAGGGAGTACAGAGAAAAATGTGATTTATAGTGAACAAAACAAGCCGTTGGCAACATGTATCATTGGTGGCATTGGAGCCTCACTGCCATAACGAAACACCAAATAATTTTTTTAAGACTCACTTTCACGTTTACAGAACTGAATATATCACAAATAACATTATGGTATGTATATAATCATATTAGAATTGAATACCTTTTAGGATTACAATTTAAAAGGGAAATATAAGGTAGGATATTTACAATTCTGGCGAAACTGAAGCAAGAGTAGTGGTAAGGGGGACTGCCCGCAAGTCTTAACGCAACAACATTCAGGGGCTAGGTGAAGCTAGTCCCCTTGAGAGGCAAAGCCACGGCCTACTAATTACGGGTTTTCCTTACTTATACTCATCTTTAATAGTGTTTTTATACTTTGTGATGTAATTAATGTGCCGGAGAAAGATTTGAAGGACTTATCACCGCGTGACTAAGTGTGTGGACTGTATAAAGTGCCTCGATTGTTGAACGAGATAGTAAAAGAAGAAACAAACGTTGGTTGTGTAATTTGAAAATTGTAGAAGAGTGAATTTTAGCTCCTTTAAATCTATAATAACGAAAATGACCAGTGAATCAACTGAAGATGAAGCCAGAAAAAAGAGTCAGCGACGTGTGGTGTTTCTTCAGACACACAAACGGAGGATTGGGTGGGCTTGTGAGTTGAGTTAATTCTCAGTTTCCCTCACAATCAGATGATCCATGAAAATAGTTGCCAACTGGTAGTACCATTGGTTGGTAAGGTTACCATGTGGTGAGATACATTACCATGATAGGTGTGGTTGCCATGTGGTAACCTTACCATGGTAGGTAAGGTTGCTTTGTAACAGGATACAATACTATGTGGCAAGATACCTTACCGTGGTAGGTGAGGTTGACATGTGGTGAGATAGAAGTTATTAAAGAAATGTAATAAGGGAATTTTACACATGTTGATAGCATTTTTCTACAATAGTAGCAATGTTGGCTGCTTTAGTGTACAGTGCAGTACTTTAGTGTACACAGTCATGTACAGTACTATAGTGTACACGCTCATAGATCTGAGTCAGGAGTGAAAAGTGTTGTCTAGTATGATCTTACTTTGCCCTTTATTACTGGACATAGGTAGTTATTCAGTTTGTTTAACCAGAGGACAGGACAGAGGAGGGCAGGGGCAGCCAGTGTTAACCCTAACAGATTTATTACTTACTCTATCAGTAATTCCTGTCACGATAAACTTGGATCAGTCTTCAGTTCTGGTGATAACGAAGGTGAATGGTGGAGGGGTAACATTTTCGTACAATTTTTCATGATAAACTTTTTCAGGTTAATTAGTATTTCTTAAAATAAAAGGCATGCGAAGTGCGTTAAATATAATTTTCGCTGTTTCTTAATACAGCATTAGGGTGTCAGCTATGCAATCTTATCAAGCCAGCGGGGATTTTTTTTATCTCACTCTGTTATCAAGCCATGAAGGTTATCTGATCAAGGTAGCCGACAACAGATAGTGTTTGGTGTTGGACGTATGGATAGAGTCAGTGGTGTATGGATAGGAATATACTGTACATATAGTAGATAGGCTAGTTAACTAGTAGATGGGTTAGTGGTACTGTATGTGATTCATTACAGTATCTTCCCAGTCCAAAAGTTGGTGGGACAAACCCTACTGTATTGCTCCCCTCAGTTCTAAAGGGGGGGGACTACAGTACAGTGTATAAGGGTCTTGTAGATTCCTGTCATCTATATTTTATTTACATGAATAGTGGTTCATATACTGTACTGTACTGTGAATTGTATACTGTACAAATGCTACAATGATATCATGTGAAACATTACGATTATTTCAAAGTCCTGTACATGTATACAGTACTGTACTTTACTGTATACAGTAGCTACTATCAGTGCCGGATTTAGACCTGTGGAGGCCCATGGGCAGCCTCTTTGTGGAGGGCCCCCTCATTATAACTACCCAAGAGGGTTGGGTGGCGAGTGAAGCGAGCCTAAACATCTGGGAGTAACGGGGGGCGCTGTAAGCCCCTGGGAAAATTTTGAAATTTGAACACTTCTTTGGAGAATTTTGAAGCCATATGTAGTTATATTGAGCTAGCCTAATTTCCATCACGCTTCTTGCTGAACATAGTTTTACGTGATGGAATAGATAAACACGAATTTTAAAGAATGAAAATAATCAAAATGAATAAACAAATAAATAAAATATTGTATTATGTGGAGGCCCCTGGGCAGCTGCCCACTTTGCCCACTCCTGAATCCGGCCCTGGCTACTATGCTTACGTGTCATGGGGTAAGAAGTTTCATATATTGTAGGTTGTAACAAATTATTAGCATAGGAATATATACTGTATACTGTACTGTAAGAGAAGTTTTCCAAATACAGTATGAAGCTTATCTCATTTGTCTGTTTCAGTTGCTGCCTGTCTTGTGGTGACGCTGTTGGGTATTGTGCCTCCATCACACACAGTTATATCATGTGCTGATCCCACCATCAGGATGAACTACCAATTTGACACCATTCCCGTCAGCATGCTCGTCTGCATCAGCCTTTTCTTGCCTTTCTTTGTGGTCAGTTTGGCACCTAACTATTTTTATTTAGTTATGCATTTGCAGTGGCGGACTGGGTCAAAAATTTCTACCGGGAAAACTTGTAAAAGGTCCCACTCAAAAGGGTCCAAAAGGGCCCACTTAATCCCAAAACGTAGTCAGAGGAACCATCACTTTGGGGCCCACCGGGAAATTTCCCGGTATTCCTGTGGGCCAGTCCGCCACTGTGCATTTGTTATATCACATAAAAAATTCTGATCGTGAAACTAATTCAACAGTGAAACAGACTTATTGCAAAATAAAGATAATTGTAGTAATGTATAGTAATTTGATGCTGTGTGGTCATTTGATGGAGCCATTCTAGCACCCTACAGTACTACTGTACATTGTAGCGTCTGACAGAATGATTCCTTCATACATTTTGTCAGAATCTGCAAGACTTTCTGGATAATATGAATATTCAAGAATTCCATATTATATAATAGTAGTACTGTAATGATATTAGGTAGTAGGCAGCTATCAAACAGTAAGGTACTACTGCCTGGAAAGATATTGGAAGCATAATGAATTGTCTAATGGTAGACCCGACTGCCATATGGTATCACAAAAATAGATGAGTTGTCGGTCGGAATTTTTTCGTAAGATGGCAGGTCAATGGGTAAAGAAAACGCTTAAATTCACTATGGTAATGATATTTTTAAAGAAATTGGGCCAAAAATGTAAAAAAATAATAGATAAAGTAGCTAAAAAGTCATGTGACTGCAAAAGGCTCTGTGATTGGTTGTGACTTCACAGGTTGGCTCGAGCAGGAGCCTGGAGGCAGCCAGCTGTGGTGTATGTGTTGTTACCAACACAGGACTTGTGGCCATGTACAATGTTGATATACACAGGCATACATCATTTTTAAGTTAAAATAAATTACTGCTCAAGTATCCTCGTGTGTATTTACTTTCTGGCTGCCAAAATGATGCCAAAGACCGATAACTCTAACATGGAAGTTTTCATCACTGTTCTCTATTTCATGTCTGGAAAATGTAAGTTTTTATCACTGATGTCTATATTTAATGTTGTGGAAGAACTAGGGACGACCATGGCCAGGGAATGGGCTTGAGATGATCAGATGACAGATATAATTTAATGTGCTTCATAGCCGGATGGCAGAGTTCTTGATAATACTGTACTCGACAATCATAAAGACATCTACTTCTGGTAAATTTCTTTTATCTGCCATGATGAACCCTGGAAGTAGTTATCCAACCTTCTCGGCTGATAGGCTCTATAAATAAATATTATTAGATAATTAATTGTGCTTTACTGTGCAACACAGTAATTCTATATTGAATATATAAGTATTATTAAGCACATTTACTAATTCAAAGAATATTAGCTGCCCATACTACAAATTTCATAGCATATAAACATTCCAAACAATATTGGTATTATTTTGGTTTTGGTCATCTGGGGAACCTTAAGATTCTAACTACGGGATTAAATACTTTAAACAATAAGACACATTATCTCTACGGGATTTATGTGGAAATTTTTTTTCGACCGCATAAGAAAATACAGGTGTCAGGTTAGGTTAGGTATGATGAGTTATGTTATAAATTATAAGGTAAGCTTAACATACACCGGTAGAGGGGTTAGCAACTCAAAACTAGTGATTTCCAATAGAAATGAAGGTCAAAATCGTTCGTAACACATCACAAACCACCAGAAAAAACATAGTCTGCATATCTAAGTACAGGAATGACCAAAACTTAAAATTTACCTAATATAGCCTATCTTGAATCTAAACATCCAAATGCTTATGGTAGTGAAAGTAAATTTTTACTCATTAATTAATATAAATGATGATATATCCCAATGCATTCTCAAAACAAAGTCCAAACTATGTCATTACTTTTACATTGACTCGTATCTCCTTCTAGTACTGATATACTACTGTGTAAATGCACTGGAAAAAAAAGAGAGAAAGATTACCAGGTAAGAGCACATGACAGCTGAGCTGGTGTGAACATGGAAGATTTTATGTCCATAAGCTGCTCTTCACGGCACATTTCTTCACTTATGAAATGTCCAGGACTTAGACCATAAAAAACACCCTTAAAACTTACCTGAACGTGGCATTTGGGGTCTGAAGAGGCCATCCTTTGTACTACCTCCTACTGCAACGGTGAGTTTGTTGGAGAACGTCGTCAGCGGGGAAACTGGTGATGTCATTGCAAATAGAGGCCCTCTTTCTAGAGAAATAAACTTATCTCGACTATTATAGCAGGACTTTAAACTGTTATTGCAAATTATATATACAGGGTACTGTGTCACTCTACGAATATGGCAGAGTGTATTTCTTGTGTTTACTCAGAACTGACAACTCGTCCATTGTGACCGAGTTCCATGTTGCTGATCTGCCTTTCTGCCACATTTACACACAATTGCAGGGTTTCACAACGTAAGACCATTAGCCTTGCTATGAAAATAGAGGTTTTAATCCGGGAGGAGGAGCCACCCGCCGGGTCACAGTGACTCGCCATCCTCCTCCTCCTCCTCCTCTTCCGCCCTCCTCCTCCTCTTCCACCCTCCTCCTCTGCTTCACTACCGACCACACACTTGCTTCACCACATCCGTCCATCAGGGAGTACAATACAAAATGATATAGTTTATTTATACATACTATTTTCTATAAAAATTACATTGAATTTCTGTATATGTTATGTATTTCATGGGGCAAAGAGATGCTCAAGAACGTAACTCCCTTATTTTATCTATTTCTTATGGGGAAAATTGATTCCGTTAACGTTGCGGTTTTCAGGAACGGAACCACAACGTTAAGCAAGGACTTACTGTACTGAAGCAAGTGAGGCATCTGCAAAACCTAAAGAAAAGACAAATGGGTGTATCGTGAAGTTTCTTTAAAACTGGCTGCAGCTGGCTGGTCACAGAAGACAAATAAATAGAAATATATCACTGTTTGTGTTGTATTTTAAATTAAATTTTTTTCATGATTTATTTAAATTTTTACTTGAAATTGTATGAAGTTCATTTAAGCACTAATCCAGCCAGCAAAGATCCACAGCAAACTGTTGTCCATTTCTAGCGACAGCTGAAATCCTGCTGCTTGCTGGGCATTTTAGACAACGGCCAGCAAAACGGGCTACATGTTTGAGGAAAGTGCCCATTGTACTGCCACCTTTATCTCCTGTTCAAGTGTCTCCATGTATCTGACACTTTCAATGGAATTTTTAAAGCTCAGTGTAATTTCACAACACTACTGTAATTATAAAATACTAGTGAGGTTAGTGTCCATTAAACTATATGTAAGAGAGGAGGAGACTGTATCATACCCCTTCTACAGATGATGGTAATGGAATGGGCTTTACCCCCGTCCTCAGTAGTTCTCGGAACATCACCATTCCGTTCAGGATTACGACGTGGTTGGAGTTACACCACTGACCTGTTTGTGGGCGGCCTCTTCATGTACTTCATCAATGATGTAGCCAAGACAGTCACAGCTGAAGCTAGACCAAATTTCTGGGATTCATGCAGACCAAACATTACTGAAGAACACTGCCAACAAAAGTTAGTGTACTGTATTCTTATAAAATTGTAACCTAATAATTTTATATAATGTTAGAGTTTAAATTTAAATACTGTACAGCAAAGTAATAAAAATTTATTTCATTTTTTTTTTATTATTATTATTTATATGTACTGTAAATCAAAGAACTGACAGGTGTTTTATCTAGGAATTCCCATTCATCAAGTACTGTACTGGACAATATATAGATTTAATAAATTTTCCTGATTTTCAGATACATTATGTTGACCTGGCGTGACTGTATAAATCCTTATGGGCTTTCACACCCGAGGCTTGTGGATACTATGAAGTCATTCCCATCTGGCCATGCATCAATTTCAGTCTTTTCATCAGTGTTTATGATTGTAAGTTACTCTCACTATGTACAGTGTTCTTCAATATTTTCCATTTATCTATCTTTCTAGCTACAGTCAGTACAGTATCTTCATTTCCTCCTTCCTAGCCAGATAGAGAGAGTAGATGAGTCGAGCCTTGTAGAAGTTCCGTATGAATTCAACCCACAAGACAGTCAACGGGTTTATGGCTTCATTTTCAAACTCTTGGCAGAAAAGTCCACAGGCGTTCTGGTTCGTATGGAAGACATGAGTTTGAATATTATGGGCAATTCATGAATATTATATGGATAAATTTTAGAGTCAAAGGTATGTATATCTGTAAGAGCAGATACTTCCATTATATTTAGGACATTTTTACAAGTATGAATCTTTAATTCTCATTGGCATGTTGACAGACGGCCACATCCCTGATATACTGTATTGAATATTGTAAAAAAAAAAAAAAAATTGTGACTGCACTTTCTCTACTAGCTATAACTCCTCTAAACAATGGCAAAATAAAACCCACCCTTGTCATACTTCATCTTTATGCTTAAATTAATCCCAAAGCAGATATTACTCTTTAAGAGTGTACTGTAACTGTATTTTGAAATGTTACAAATTCCATTAAATTTCCTGAAATCACACTATTTCATATTTAGTTTATTGTGGAATCATTAAACTGTACAGCTTCTTTCTTAAAAATTCCTTAGTTTTCAGTCTTAATGTACAGTACAGTACTACTGTATGTAGCTCTCTGCATGTCTATGTCATTACTTATATTTCTATTATCTCACACATCATCACTTACACATTTCTTAGTTTTTTTAACAACTTCCATAATCTGTGACATCTCACTCCTTTTGAGAGCTTCCCTCTGAATGAATAATAATAATAGCAGGTCTTTTGTTTCTCAAAAGTACCAGTTCTTCAAAAGAATTCATTAGTGCTCAAAACACTACGAAATCAAGGACCTGAGAAGAAAAGAAATACTAAAACAAAAAATTACAAAAAGTGAGTTAGATTTTATCTTATGAATCTTACTCCTTTCAAATGCCATTAAATTAATCATTTTTGTGAGTACCTTCCATCACACACCCTGTTATACTCTCGCATTACCACTCTTCGTAATTCTTTATCAATCTCCATGAAAGACTTGTTTGTATTGTTTGTCTATGTATTCAGAACCCTCTATGAAGTTTACAGAAATGACACATGCCATATACTGTACTGTACCTATATATTACTGTAACTGAGAACCTAGTCTTCTTTAAGGTGTACATCAAGCAGCGTTTGTGGAATAGATGTTCCCTGCTGTTGGCTCCGTGGCTACAACTCATATGGGCAGTTTGGACTCTAATTTGCTGCCAGTCTCGTATATGGGACAACAAACACCACTGGTGGGATGTCCTGGGAGGTGGTCTCCTTGGGGCTTTTGGAGCTTTCATGACGGTATGTGACAAGGATTTGTACCGTATCCATGATGAATTGTGAAATGCCTGTAAATAAATCATATATATCTTGTACCATACTATGTGTATATTAGAAGAATATAGGAAGAATTAATAACCTGGTCAATAGATGTATCTCCTTATATTTGGTTTTTCATTGTGGAGGGATTTAAATGTTTTTATAAGCTTTATATATCTGAATGGATATATTTGTCCTTTATTCATCAGTGATATGTCATATACACTCAAACAACCACTACCTCCATGTTATACCAGGCTTCATGCACACAATTACTTAATAGCTGGTATTTCCTCTTTCTTTCATTTTTGTTTTGTTTTACTCTATCCTGTTGAATTAGTTATTTCCACGTGTCCCTCAATGTATAGTACACTTAACACAGCAAAGCCTACAGCAACCCCTTCATGTACCCTCTTATTTACTTCAGCAACACTCTTCTGTACCACAATAATTGATGCAGTGCTGATTGGTACTATTGTTGGTTAAGTTTAGTTGAGTTACAACTACAATGATGGGTAACTATGATGGGAAGATGTTCAAAGGGCCACACTCATCCAATGCACTATTTATAACACATGTTTGAGGGATTGTGTGTGTGTGTGCGTGCATATGTGTGCATGCATGTGTTTGTGTGTGCATGCAAAATCAATTCCCTATGAATTGGAAGAATATTCTCATTGAAATAAGCTTGACATCTTGCAATTTTGCATTCAAGAAACCTGGCATGAAGTCATCAAAACTCCTCTATTTTCAGGCCCACATAATTGATGCCATGGGGTGACTTACACCCAGGCCCACAAATAAATGCTATAGATTAACTTAGAAATGATCTTTGAATGATCAGTGAACCAGATAATTATTTGCCAATAAGCCAAGCTTTGACAGTATGGGAAGAGGTTATACTCCCATATGTAGTACAAAAGCCAACCTTTGTTTCCATGGGCAGCCACAAAACTTTTAGCAATTAAAAAAATATATACTGTATACAGTATACTGTACTGTACTTATGGAAAATATTGAAATTTTTGCACTTTAAAAATGGAAACATAATTGAAAATTCCAGTAACTGAGAAGTTAGAAGAATTCCTTGTAAACTTAAAAAATAATTTATATTTGTAAGCACATCACATTAAATGAAGGAGATGCAATACAAACACTTTTCTGGTGTTTAAACAAAACACAGGTAACTAAATTTGATGTGACAGGTTACTACAGTAGTAAGCAATGTGACCTAGGTTATTAGAAGCCAGATTGAGTTTATGTTATGATGCCCATCAGGTTTATTGGCAAGAAATATTTACTGTTATCATAAAGAAAAAATTTCACCTCACTTTCATCAGGAGACAGCGTGGGTGTGTGAGAACTCTTAGTCATATTTAAATGTACACTCAACAAAAAAACTTTTTGAAAACCTGGGCACGATGGATGTGAGAATGAGCAGAATGGGGCTTGTCATCTGGGAGTGGTTTCAGAGTCTTCGTTCATTTTTCAGATACATAGTGCTTATAGTGTTCGAGAAGTTTTTGGTAAGAGAGTACAGTACAGTACTGTACTGTACTGTAAGAGAGTACTGTACTGTACTATTCCAATTTTGACAACTGTCCACTTTCAAAAAATCTTTTATAATGTAAGTATTAAACTGGTAAAAAAATACAATACTAGACTTTTGAGTATTTTTGCTTGAAGAAATTCCTAACTTAGCCTGGGTCAGGACTTTCTGATACTGTACTTCCCTAATTTTAAGAAAATTTTTGGATTTCTTGATTTTTCTAAGTGCTTGTACTGTATTGTACTGTACTTGTACTGTGCTGTGTTTTAGTTGAAACACAAAATTTTTATGAGAAATGCAATACCTTTATATCTTTTAAATACTCTAATATATCAATATCTGTTTCTTCTTTCACATAACCCTGCAGCTGCATTACCTCAGTAACTGGTTTATACGAGAGGATGACCTGGATAAGCCAAGCAGCAGGGATTTACCATTCCATTGTCAAGAGGATCGTTCTTCTGGGTTTTCCCGAAACTCTGTTAAGCGTCTTATTTCTAACACATCAGACACTGACAACCACAGTGACCTCCGCCACGATGATCGGGAACTTAGAGATATTAATGGCACTCCCTAGTCTTAACCTTATTGCAAATAAAGTACTGTACTGTGAAGAGATACTTTTATATATATATATATATATATATATATATATATATATATATATATATATATATATATATATATATATATATATATATATATATATATATATATATATATATATATATATATATATATATATATATATATATATATATATATATATATATATATATATATATATATATATATATATATATATATATATATATATATATATATATATATATATATATATATATATACATACATACATACATACACACAGTGGTCTCTCGGTTAACGAACACAATTCGTTCCAGAAGGTCGTTCGTTAACTGAAAATTTCGTTGACCGAAACCATTGTTTCAATGGGATTTTGGGTAATTGGTTCCAGCTCACCGAAAATTACATACAAAGTAAAAATAAATGCAGTAAAGTACACTTACTTTGAGGTATGTATGTAGAAGGCTCCTGGTTGATGATGCTGATGATGAGAATTAGAAGTGGGGGTGGAGGAGAAGGGAGAAGAGAAGGAAGTGGGGGTGGAAGAGAAATAACCCATGCTTCATGCCGTCATTTCACCCATAAAATTTTAAGTTCACTCGGTGTAATTCAAGATTATTTTCTTTAAATCAACACTGCACTGCACTATATATTGTCAATATGTAAAATAAATTTCAGAATGACCAATAATTGTACTGTAAAAACATAAAAATAGTTTATGTTCAAGAGAGCCACAAGCAAGATGTTACCTCCACTGACCAGAGATACAAACTGACGCCTTTGTGGGTGAGTCAAGTGGCTGATTGGCGCACCAAAAACTAGTTTCCTGTATTGCAATTATGTTAAATATGTGTTAAAATGACTAAAAAATTTAATATAAAACTTGGAAAATTATTGAACAGTACAACCTTCTTGATATTTACTCAAATGGGAACGAATTTAAGCCCAAGAACCGATTACTGTATTGGTGGACTAATATTTCAGCTGGTGAGCAAGCGAAAACATGTTGACATGATTTCGTAAGAATCTCGTTAACCGAATTTTTTTTCGTTAACCTAAATTTCGTTAACCGAGGGATCACTGTGTATATATATATATATATGTATATGTATATATATATATATATATATATATATATATATATATATATATATATATATATATATATATATATATATATATATATATATATATATATATATATATATATATATATATATATATATATATATATATATATATATATATATATATATATATATATATATATATATATATATATATATATAAACTTAGGTTATTATGTTAACTAAGTTATGTATTTTACTGTAAACTTTTAAACAATGGAAGAAAGCTTTGTCTATAAGGCTAAAACTACTTTAAAGTATATATTTTTATATAAATTATATATGCATGTAGATTTCTAGTGAAAAATTTGAAAGGTAGTTGTGAATAGAATTTTTTGCAAATAGGGATGAAAATGGTAATGTGCATTTGTTACATAATACTGTATACTGAATGTGATTTTATCAGTGTATGAATAGCATTTAAGTATTTTATAGCTTAGGAGTAATGAAATAAATAAAAATTTGATGGATATACAGTACTATATTGATTTCAGTCTTTAAATTTTTCTATAAACTGTACCTTATAGGTCGAGTAAGTTAAGATAGAAATTTTCAAGTGCAGGGAAGCAGTCCATGGTGTATGAAGTTTTGGGGGGATTAGTTGTAAAACCTAACAAACATATAATAATAATAGCTGGTATTTTGTTACTCTAAAGGGCCAATTCTTCTAAAAAATTCACTAGTGTTCGGAACACTACAAAGTCTAAGACTTGAGAATAAAAAGAAACACTGTACAACAACAAAAGATCACAAAAAGTGACAGTTGGACTTCTGTCATTCATACACCCTAAAGTTTTAATACCCGGTACTTCCTAAACATTGTAATTCTCCACCACCGTAGAAAGGTTTCAAATAATTTTTTAAAGGCCTCCACAGAAGTCTGTTAATTATTTCCTTTATACAACTGATCTTTGAGGTTCTAATACAGGAGTTTATAATAAAGCATAAGTACAGTATAAATATACTGTACAGTACATTTCAAATTACTGTTAGTTAGAAATTCATATGAAGATGTAGACTGTGGTGTTTTATTGTGAAATTTGTATATCTGGTTCTCTTTGTTAATGAGATAAAGAAAGTTAAAAGTTTGAGGATCATGAACTGATCCATTACTTTGTTAAACTGCAGTAACATGTAGTAGGAAAGTCATGGTGAAACAGTGACTGGTGTGGTGAACCTGCTTGAAACTGTGAAACGTTACCAAGAAAAAAACAGTGATGGTAAAAATTTTAATTTTCTTCTAGAAGGACATTTAAGCTTGGTATTCATAGAACTTCTGTACTTAGAGAAAACAATTACAGTAGTTACATGTAACCTTGAAATCATCATCTTATATGAGCACCTAACTGGGCAACACCTTCCAATCACATCAGCTGATGGCAGAGCTCACACTGACACTTGAGCTGCTGTGAACTTCAATGCATATTACAGATACTGAAGACCTTGTTGACTTAGTATGGCATCAGGTCATTGGTTGAAGTATCAGTCTTTTGCATAAAACTGTACAATGAATGTCTTTCTTACACATAAATATTTTAAAATGTTAATGCAAATCAGTAAGGGGTTTGTCCTCTGAACATTTAACAGATAATGTAAAATTTGTATCTAGTAGGCCAGTTTCCACATTTGTGTGAACTTTTAACAGTTTAACATGCATAAACAATATGTTGGGATGTATATGAACATTTATATTACTGTACTGTTGTGGTGGATGTTACCTGTCTCATTTATTATATTCATTGAAAAGTCATTGAAATATTTTTGTAAATACGAGGTGTTATCCAAAGGTTCCCGGACTGGCTTCATAAAACCTTTCTCCTAGCAGATATTGAATCCAAATCATCAGCAGCTACTTATCTTGGGTATAAGTTAATTACTGCATCGATTTGGCAGGAATCTGTGTCACCAACCAGCCACTCAATCCTCAATATGGAGGGAAGTATCGAGCAATGCTGTGCCATCAAATTTTGCTTCAGACTAGGAAAAATTGGTGCAGAAACCCATGAAATTATTAAGGAAGCCTACAAAGATGAAGCAATGTCCAGGGCTCAAGTTTTCAGGGGGCACAAGCACTTCAAAGAAGGGTGCACCTCCTTTGAAAATGAGCTTTGTTTTGGGTGGCCTTTTACTGAGAGAAGTGATGAAAATGTCCAGAAAAATTACCAGCTTGTCCATGAAGAGTGTAGGGGACCACCCATGAGATTGCTGATCGGTTGGACCTTTCATATGGAAATGTTAACCAGATTTTGACTGATGACTGGCAATTGGCTCCTTCACCAGGGCAATGCACCTGTGCACACTGCCCTCACTGTGAATTATTTTCTGGCGAAGCACAGCATCCCAGTGGTCCCTCCACCCTCCATACTTTCCAGATCAGGCCCCCTGTGACTTCTGGCCATTTCCGAAGTTCAAGTTGAACCTCAAGGGGAAGAAGATCGTGGACAGAATGTGTTCTCCAGCCTCACCAACAAGGACTTCCATATCTGCTTCCAGAAGTGGGAGGAGGGGATTCGGTGCTGCATTGAGGCCTTTGGAGAATATTTTGAGGGTGACTAAAGTTTCACTGTAATAACTTGAAAAATAAAGATTTTATGAAGCTAGTCCAGGAAACTGTGGATCACACCTCGTATTAATACTGTATGCTTACTTTTTTTCTTTAAGCTACTTTGTATGGATACATTTCTCTTGCCCATTAATATATTTCTGTAAAATATATTTTCAAAACTAGTTGTAGATGACTGCTTTATCTAATATTTATTGCTGAATAATGCTAGCACACATTATAGTGTATACAGTACAAGTTATTTGAAGTAATGCATTATTTGTTTTTATCAGCAACATTATTATAGATAATTGATGAAGTTAAAATACTTTTTCATCAATTGTTTGTCATGGTTGAACTAAGAACACCACATGTTATATGTTTTGTACCTCAGAGACAGGAATTTTAAGTTCTATCATTGTACGCATTTGAACCACTTGATACATAGCAGGATCAACTGACCATATATTAACATGGCTTAATAGTTCAGTAGGTGGAGTGTTCACTTTGAGAACAAAAGGTCACACATTCAGTGTTTGACAAGTGAAAATTTGTGTTCCTCCTTATACGCTCCACAGTAGATAAGTGCATATTGGGTACCCTTGGCAATTGGTAGAACAACCCATTGGATATCATCCTGCTAAGGGGTAACCCACTAGATGCTAAGAATCAGGAAATAAGCACCAATATGGCCAGACTGCATTATGGAAAAAAGGCGTGTGTGAAAAAAAAATTGTATTGGACATTGATGAACATGCGGTACATGTACTGTGTAGTCATCAGTACAAGAGGTCGCTGCTTATTATCTCCCCATTTATCATTGTTTCGTTATTAAGTTGCTAATGAATTAGGAAAGGGTTTCATTATACACTACTGTTATATTGTTGGCTGTCATCTGATGCTGCATAACTACTACAGGTACTGATGTTTCTCAAATTTTCCAATGCCATGCACAAGAGCAACCTAATGAATATTTAAAACTATTACAAATGCCCAAAGCTATTGAAGGTGTAGATAAGGAAGCAAAAGAAATGCCCAATCAACATCTGATAATGAAACACATGGCTCAAGCATTTCAGATGATTGAAGGTGGATAATAAATTAGTGATGAGACTTTAAAAGAGAATGGAGTTCAGTATGATTAGGACAGATGATGCTCTAAAGTGCTTCAAGGAAATTCATCAAGAGAAGAAAAGGGAGAGGGCAACAAACATTGGGTTTTTTGGGGGAGGAGGAGGGGGCTTCAGAAAAAGCAATAGAAAAGAGTATAACCAGAGGGTCCGCACTCGTCTTCCTTCTGACTTGAACACACTTATTCTATTCTGCCTTCTCAAGCAACCTTCACCACACTCATTCATGAGCATTAAATTTTTTATTTGACAATTAGATTATCATATATTTTACTTGGTGATTTTTTTTTTCCAAAACCTA